GAGTTGGCATGATGCCACTTCAAATTTTGACGTGTGCGTGCGTGAAACCTTAAGGTGCGTGAAGACTGAATTTGAAATCTTTAAATTACACGCGGGCAAGGAACAAAACTGTGAAGTTCCAGCCTCCTAGCATGGGCTGTTCCCGAAAGCGCTTTCTCGCCAAAAAAACTTTCACGTGCCCGTACGTGAGGACCACGCGGAACCAAGCGTCCACTTTGGGGACAGGAGCCTGCACGTATGTGTAGATAAAGTTACCAAAATTTCAGCCTTGCAGCTTTTATGGATCTCAAGATGAAAACTCGTTACAGACGCACACAAAGACACACAGACACACACACATACATACGTACATACACACACAGACAACCCCTCGACAATATGCGTTTTTGCATAATGCTGCTGCAAAAAACGCATAAAAAGCGTCGGCAGGGACGAAGGTATTGCATTATGAGATCGCATGGTCCTACAGCGAGTATGATCATCAATTTCCTGCATGAAGCCCGGTCGTTTTTTCGGTGGATGTTCGTGCATTCAAAATATGCAAATTTGAACAGAACCGGAAAGGGAATATGAAATATGCAAAATGCACTCGCTTTAAGTTCGTGATAAAATTGAGTACTTGTCATGTCTACGAGCAGGGGATTTCACCTGGAAGTTGAATTAAAACCGCACATGTAGAATATTTTTGTAAAGTTTCAGCTTCATAGCTTTTCTGGTAAGCGAAATAGCCATTTCGCTACAACAATTTTTGAAGTGCCTTAAATCTTGGCGCAAGTGAAAATCTAAACTCCGTTCAGGCATACGATTTTTCATGAGAACAAAAAAAATAAATATTCTGACAAAATTTCAGCTGCTGTTTTCCAGCTGGTTTTCAAGTTGGCACAGTGCCAAGTGCAAACTCTGATGTGATCGTACACGTGGCATAAGCATGTGCATCATCTGAATTTGAAATAACTAGCTCATGCATGTACAGAGAATATCCTTGTCTGGTTTGCCAAATCGTTTCCAGCAAAGAAATCTGCATATTTTTTTTCGGGGGACTGTGCGTAAGATCCAGAATACGAGCGAAGATTTCGAAAATGGAAGGGTGATACATGGAGTGGGAATATAAACCCAGAATATAAATTTCTGCCTCCCCGCTTCCTGGTTGCTGAATTGAAAGTAGGTGACAAAGTCACTCGAACACACACTCGGACTGACAGTCTTTGACAATACGCGTTTTGGCGCACTATAACAGTGCTATAAAGCAGCACAGCAAAAACACAAAAATAGCCATGTGTCTATGCAAGTATGTGTATGTGCGCGTGTGTTTTTACATTTGTGTGCGGAATCAGTATCGCCTTTAAAATACATACCAAAAAACTTCACCGCAAGTGAACTTACCGACAGTGTCGGCATCGAAAGTGCAATTGTACCGTAAGAAACGTACGCCGCCGCCTTCGTAATCCACGCCACGTTTGTTCAGTGCAACATCAATGCTGTAGGTGGAAGCATCATGATGTGGCCGTAACGAGGCTTGCTCATCCGGCCTATACCTCACAACGAACATCATTATCGATTCCACAGGCTAAATTTCAAAACTATTCTCTTCACTTTTTAGCTTGCTTATTTTCCAAAGAAGCATAGGATCTCGCTGACCCAAAGTTCTGGAATTTGCCGTGCGGGTGTTCTAGAGCGTTCTTGTTCTTGAGCTTTAGTCAACTCGCACATTCCAGACTAATTTATTGCTTTTCAGCTCATGATATCTGTTAACAATCCTTTTATAAAATTGCCGTCATTTTTTTGAAATGTCTTCTCATACATGACACGTAATTCCAATCTTCTTACTCCACTATTCTATGTAGCTTCGGATGGCGCAGCAATTTCATCGAGACACTAGCACTACTGGTTTATTTTTATGTGTACTTATGTGTATTTCGATGATTTATACACATTTATTTCGATTCACACGCACAGATACATTAGCATTGCCTTCATTTGCCTTAGATTCCCTTTTCCCAACTTTTCAATCGTGTCTATTGTCATGCACAGCATTTACTCTTGAAAATCCTCACGCTAATGCGCGGCGCCATTTCTCGACTACTCCTTTCATCTTTTTACATTTATATTTCATCCAATTAATTCCCAACGGCTTTTAATACTTTGATCAGCAGTTGTTATATTGCTGAGTTTCTTCTCGTCACTCATGCAGCTGGTGTCCTCGCCATCCCTCTCTATTTTGGTTTTTTTTTCAACCACATAATTCCACACAGCCGTTCGAACAAGTCTCATCGTAGCACGGTTCCACTTTTTGCGTTATTCTGGTGAATACCATCTAATAACCCATTTTGTTCATCTGCTATCTCGCCTTCTTGCCACATGGCCAATTCAATTCTTTTCCTCGCGCACACCGCCTGAATGCGGCCACTTATGCTAACTTATTAACACCTATTATGCCTCCTTTCGTAGCTCGTTGTGTCATCTTCAACTTTCCCTCTCGGCTAGAGTGGTAATCAATGTATAAATTGAAAAGTATCGCTTTCATTATCGGTTTTACGCTAGAATCAGAAAAAATATTTCAAAATTTAGCAAAAGACAGTCATTTTGCTCCATTTCATCTGCTTCATACCAAACCCATCTCATTATTCATTTATACTGTTTGGTCCAAAAAGGCAGAGCTGTCCAGAAACTCCAAGGACTGATTCTCGAATCCCAAGTCGAAATGAGAGCAATATGTGCTCTTCCTCATTGGTTTCTCCAGTTTCCTCCGCATTGATCGCAAAATCATCTTTACAGATTCCACATCAGTTGGGGATTTTTCGCGATGAGCACGATGTTATATAGGGAAATGAGCAGTATATCATCACTAATAAGATATTCCTTTGTAGTTACAGTTTTTCGTAACACACTACAAATGAGCTGGTGAAGGCCTTCGTGGTCGAAAAAAACAAACAGCTGAGATGAAAATCCAATTTTTGGCCTAAAACAGCGGAAACTTGCTTTTTTGTAATATCCAACGAATAATTTTTCCTGTATTGGACGAACGTATTCATCCAACATATATAACCAGTGTCGTTCGAAATCGATCTGCTTCATGTGGATGTCACGGGTTGGAACATTTTCATAACCACCAGCCAGTCTAGCGTCCTAAAAAATCGTTCAGAATACAGTTGATTACACACACACACACAAACACACACACATACAGATACACACATGCATACACACAAGTACACACGCACATACATGTAGACGTACAAAGACACATAAATGCACACAGAGTTATCGAACAATAGTGTGAAATAAGTACGAAGAAAGAAATAGAAAACTTGTCCAACATAACTACAAAATGAAGGCTCACACACTGTTTGAGAAAAAAAGGGGTAAATTTCCGAAATACAACTAAATGGAGAGCACGATTTTTCGAACAGATTCCGTGTTAAATGCCCGAATTAACAATGCTTATAAAATAACTTTCTGTTTAAGAAAATTCAAACAAAAAAGGCTTTTTCTGAACCCACTACATCACAATTTTCAAACAGAACCATTCTTTTACACGTTAAATTTTGTTAAAAACTAACACAGCTTCAATGCCTGTTCGTTAAACTAAGTGGGATTGGGGCAAAACAAACACAGAAATGGATACACAGCCGAACACGAACATATATAAATGCGCAAAAACGCACAAACACAGAAAAACAGAAACGGACAGATACAAGCACACATACACGCCTACACCAGCAGTTTAGTTATTGGGATATAAAAACAGGCGCTACTTGCAGTGCCCCGAACTTTCTAAGTGATGTGCACAGATGCATTCCAGAACAGCTGGTCAGAAATCCTCAATGTTAGTGCGGAATGATTGGCAAGGATGCAGAAAATGTTTCCAACACGATGAAGTAGGGTGAACTATAACTGGCCATTTTGTCTGCAGCCTTGCTTACCTCGTTTCTGCCATCAGACCATCGTCCGTAATATTCGCATTCTTCGACGAGTTCGGCACAAAATGTTTCAGACATCAGTGGGAAGTCGAACACATCTCGGCATATTTCGTGGATCGGCGCACTACCGTTCAGTGCCGCAAAATAATTCTGATGGATGTAGCGTGCCTCCCAAAGCTGCAAAATTCAAAGCACGTCTATAATAAAACAGCCATTGACTGGATTTTGAAAAAAAAACAGAAGAAAAAGTGTAGAAAACAAAAAAAATGAAATGTGAAGCAGAAGATATATGCTTAAAATGAGTAAAATTTTCGACCGATATTTTCGTCATGAAAAATTCGAATTTCGATGCAAAACTGTTTCTGGCACGCATTGTACAGTCAAAAATACCATCAGCTTGCTTTTAAGCAATTCTCGAAATAGAAATTCATCA